ATATGTACCATGGAGGAAATTGTTTACTTTTGAATAGCTTTGTTTCCTCAGTTAGAAATTTAAAAGAAATATTTATTTGCATTGCTGTGAAGATTACTTCACCATTACCAGTGTCTCTATCTCAGGCACAGAAAGTTATACATTGTGATACCTTATATTTCATATTCCTTGATAAAAACAAACTAATCATTTGTTAAGCCCTAAAAATTGGGTGTAAAGTAAAACCACACCTTATTAGTCTATATTTTTTAAACTGCATATACCATTTAAGACAATATAAACTAAATTCAGTATGAGAACCAATCCCTATTTTAATATTTGTGTAAAATTTCTCGCTGTTACTTTCAAAAATGTATATTTTTTACAAAGTTAACACTATTAATCTCTTAATATGAGGCAAATGCAGTAGAAGTCATTAGGAATTCAGGCATACTCAATAAATCATTACAGTTCACTTGAAGAATCAAGGATCAAGGGAATAGTTTGCTCAATTGTAGAAATTGACTGACTACTCCTAGAAAAGATATGTCTACAGTTATGGGAGCCCTGATTGTTAATGGATCTCACAAAAATTCTAAAAAATTAGGTTTCTTTTGTAGTTTGAGAGAAAAAATAAAATGCATTTTTACTTCTAATGAGGCTTAGGTTAAAAATCTAATTGTGATTGTAAATATACTAATGAAATACTAGAAAGTACCCAAACAACTAGTTTATGTACATATTAACATATATAAAATGCATCAAATATAGTATGCAAAAATGTGCTCTAAAAAACATACCCATTGTAGTATGCAAACACACGAACACACACATACACAAGTGCATTTGAATATCTTGCCTACACAAATCCAACTCATTTCAAGGCAATATATCAAGCATTCAAGGTACATGTCTCTCATTTTCTTTTCTTCTCTTTCTTCATTCAGGGAGACCCACTACAATATATGAGACAATGGGGAAAGCTGATTTTTGGCTCATTCGAACCTATTGGGATTTAGAATTTCCTCGTCCATTCTTACCAAATTTTGACTTTGTTGGAGGACTCCACTGTAAACCTGCCAAACCCCTCCCTAAGGTAAATCTTCTCCTGTTTCTTTTGTTCTATTTGATTAACATTTTTGGTAGAAATGACTCTGCATTCTTAACTCAGAGTGTTTAACTCAGAGATATGAAAAGCAAGATAAAGAGTTCTGCCAATTATAGAACCAGGCATTTCTACGCCATCACATGTAATGCCGTTCCATTATTGTAACAGAGGAAAGTAGGATATTGGGTATCCTTTGAGAATAATCAGTAAAAATGTCATTCATTATGTAATAAATAATAAAGAATCAATAATTTATTTTAATAAATACAAAGAATATTTATTAAGTGGCTGTCATATACACTTAAGAATTAATCATTTATTCTAATAAATACAAAGTATATTTATAAAGTTACTGTCATACACCAGAGATAAGTGCTGGATATAGAGAGTTATAAAGTTGACACAGTTTCTGCATCAACCAAATCTTATATTCCATCTGGGTACAGAGACTGTAACAAATAATAAATTTTTGTGTTTTATCATAAGGAAATTATACAATACTAATGAAACCTCCAGCAAATATCATTAAAAAAATCCTAAAAGCCTCGATAACAAAGGTGAATACTAAAGAATCCACAGGATAGGAAAAGGGGTTGAGGGAGAGAGGAAGACACAAAAGGAAAAGCACATACAATAGAAAGGGAAACTCCCAAGAACTTCAAGAGTGGTTTAGCAGGAGAAGGGTCTGCAAAGTGTAGATGTTGCTAGAGAGGTAAGTGAAAGCCAGATAATTAGTAGGAGTTTAAAATATCTGTGAAGTACATTGGGTAGTCAATGAAAAGAGTTAAGCATAAGAGAAATGTGAATAAAGTTTCTGTTTTGAAAAATCTCAAAATGCAGTCACCAAGCAGGATTTTAGAGGGAAAGACAATGCAGAGGAACCACTCAGAAAGTTGTTGCAAGACTGCAGATAACAAATGATGTAAACATGGATGAGGTTGTTCTTACATGTGACTGTGCTTATTTATCTATTAATAGTCAAACTTCATATTGTGTTACCTGGAAAAAGTAGATAATACTGATACACAATGTCCTTGGTACAAACATAGGATCCATAGCAATATTTGCTATTGTAATTATTCCTTTTTTGTTTCTATAAAACTATTTTTCCTTCTGAAAAATTGAACATTGTTATCTACTTTTAAAGACCCTAACTATACCAAAAAGGTTGGATTAACCCTTATAAATATTAATATTTGGGTATTTTTACATTTAATTCATTTTAGCATCCCCTAAACACTGTTGTGTACATGATTTGGATTATATTCAAATTGAGAGATAGAAACTCACAATATGGCTGAAACAAACTACCATAGATATTCTCTTGTAATTGTAGACCGCCCAGGTATAGTATGATAGCT